TCTCTATCCCCCCTCTCTCTGTTTCTCTCTCCACCCCCTGCACACAGAATAAATTTTTGTGTGTCTCTCTCTCTCTCTCCTTCACTCCCTCCACCCACGTCCATTCTTATTCACCCACCTCTATTCCCTACTTCCTCCGCCTCCTTCCACATCACCAATGCTCCCCCCCCCCATAACCCACCCCTCCCCCATGATCACCCCGCGTGACGTCACGGAAACGACGGTGTGACGTCGTCGCGAATTATTCCGATTTACAATGTTTGGCTTTAAACTTTATCATCTCATTCTTCAATTCTTTGCACAGCGCTCTTTCGGAGGATAATTGAAAACCGGCAACCTGGAAAAAAGCAAGTTGTAGAGATGATCACACTGTAGAGGGGAGGATGGGAGGGAGGGGAGGGAAAGGGGAGGGACGAGGGCTATCACACTGTGGAGGGGAGGGGAGGGGAGGGAAAGGGGAGGAGGGAGCGGAGGGGAAGGAAAGGGGAGGGAGGAAGGTTATCGACCTTATTGTCATCGGGATTTTCGCAGGTGAGAAGTTAGTAGTGTTTACCTGGCAGTTAATTAGCATGACAATGACTCGGATCATGCGATCCTTTCTCTTTAGGTCGCTGTATGTTGATGCTTAGCATAAATCGTTAACAATATAAGGTGCAATTGTCAGAGAACGCAGCCCGTGTTGGAAAGCATGGGAAGAGGACCGTAGCGGGGGCGGAGGAAAGAGACAGGATAAGATAAAAGAAGAGAAGGTAGAGACAGAGAAGGAGATGGATGCGTGCGAAATGGGGAGAAAGACAAAGGGAAAAGTAGAGGAGGTAAAGGAGGTGGAGAACTATGAGGAAGAGGAATTAACAGTAGAGAAGTAGTTGGAGAGGGAGAAAGAAGAGGAGGCAAAGGAGGAGAAATAGAAGAAACTCAGTGGAGTTGAGAAAAAGGAAGAGGCAGAGACAAAACTCCAAAGATGAGAAGGCGAAGGAAGCAGAGAAAGGATGCGAAGAAGAGTTGGTAGAAGGAGGGGAACTACGAAGCATGCCCCTAACACACGTGACACGTACCATGAGTTCGTGCATCAGGTAGCCAGCGGTGCGAGACTGCAGGCCGACGGTAGCGATGGCGCTGCGAACATAGGTCTCCGCCGTCACACACCACGCATTCACATCTATCTGTGACGTCATGTTGGTTGACACGAATCCCGGCGTCACCACCTGCAACGATCGAAACGACAATGTAATTATTCCGGTAGTTAAAGCTATATTTGCGAGATTCTTACTCAGAAACACTCAATTGGAAAAAAGCTGCGGCGGAACGGGCTATATATAGTTATAGAGCTAGTTTGAAACGTGCGTGTTTTGGTGAATACGAAGGTTCTAACACATTTTATCGTTACTCTAGACAGTTGCTGTTGTGTTGCAGTAGCAATAATGGTAAGTGTCGTATCAGTTGATCCTACCTGGTACCATCGGACATTAGTCGCGACCGGTCATTGTAACCATTACCCGCGTCATAAATTAATTTAAGTCTAAAAAGGTCGCGGCGGGGATGCTGACGGCTTAGAAAGGTCGGGTTTTGCTAGAAACAGAGGAGACGACGGCAACCTGTAATCGGTTACGTGTACACTGTATTGACTGTGCTATTTATCCGTATTTATAATAAAACTGTAGTTGTCACCGTTTATACAACTGTTACGTCCTACTGTCTACGTTCGAGATATATTCATCACTACAAGAGAAACGGAGAGGGAAAGAGAGAGAGAGAGAGAGAGAGAGAGAGAGAGAGAGAGAGAGAGAGAGAGAGAGAGAGAGAGAGAGAGAGCGAGAGGGAGAGAGCGAAAGCTATATAAAAAGAACGAGAAATAAAGAGAGCAAGTCAGACAGACAGAGTCAGAGAAGCCCAGCCACTGACGACCACCTACTCACCTGGAACTGGATGCCCTTCTCTTCGTATTCCTGTTCCAGTATTCGCGAGAAGAAACACACGAACGCCTTGGTGGCGCTATATGTCGCCATAAACGGTATAGGGACAACGCCGGCCAGGGAAGCGATGTTGATGACGAGGCCTCGCTTGCGCTCAACCATCTGTCAAAGAAGAGCAAACGAATCGTGCCAGTCTACGCGAGCGTTTCCCCGGAGAGGCGCTTGCAGTGGCAGCAGTGTGAGTGAGATCACGCCCACACGCACGCATGCCCACACGCACGCACATGCACGCACACGCACATGCACGCACACGCGCACGCGCACGTACACACACACACACTTACACACACGCACACGCACGCACACGCACACGAAAGCTCGCACGCTCACGGAAGCATGCAAGCACACGCGTGCATGCACGCACGCAGGCACGCACGTGCGTGTACGTGCGTGTACCCGCGTGTACGTGCGTGTATCAGCGTGTACCCGCGTGTACGTGCGTGTGGATGCGTGTACGTGCGTGTACCTGCGTGTACGTGCGTGGCGTATATGCATACTTTTTATACAAAATTATTTCATCCAACTGATAAACCAATCTGTAATGTAGACCAATGTACATGTACAGAGTGTTTCAAAAACGTATTATTTCAGGACAGTTTCCAATATTCTCTCCATATCCATGGATTACTATTTCAGCAAAATCTGTCCATACCAAATTAATCTTTTAACTAATTAACTAATCTTTTAGTTCTCTAATAAATATGAAGTAGATCTGCACCATAATTCATATCAATTAGAACAAGGAGATAAAAAACAAACAACAATACCGCACATTAGAAATAGGTGTATTATTCATCTTGGCATTTGAAAGGTGTTTATTTCATATGCTTCCAAAGTAATAAAGTCATTTTACAACTAATGCTTTTATGTACTTTCTTTAAGATACAGGGTATCTAAAAGAATTGACCTAGGTAGGATTCTGATAGGTAGATTTGATTCTGTAAGTAGGTAATCTAGGTAGGATTGTATCTATTTTTAGTCCTACGACAGAGCGAACGTTTTTGTAGCGCGGGCTTATACCATAGACTATTATATAATAACAGTGTGCTAGTTATACTTTTTGTGTATATATCCTTGGTAGTTATCTAATTTCATAAATTTAAAATATATTCTAACAGTACGTATGTGTGGATAATTACCTAAATAAATAAATAAAAAAGTATAAGCTATATGCGTGAAAAATGTTGGCGTTCCGCCTACGCCAGTAGCGAAATGGAAAGCCAACGGCGTAGATAAACGTCTCTCTCTCTCTCCCCTCCATTCCTCTTCCCCTGCTCTCCCCTCTCATCCATTCTCCTTCCCCTCACTTTCCCATTCCTCCATCTCTACCCCTGTCTTCCACTCTCCTCCATTCCCCTCTCCCTCTCATCCCTCCCCCTCCCCACCCTCCACCCTCGCTCACCTGCGGCAGAACGATGTACGTCATAGCAACGCAGGACATCATGTTCACGTTGAGCATGCGCAGATGCAAGTCTCTCTCCACGTCCAGGAATTCGTCGAACATCCATGCGTAGCACATACCGACGTTGTTCACCAGCACGCCGATCTCTAGTCCCGCCAACTCTCGCTCGACGTCATCGTAGATCTCCCGTCCGCCGCTGTAGTCGACGACGACCGTCTTCACCTGCACGTTGCTGCGCATGCGCACCTCGCTCTCGGTGGCCTTCAGCTTCTCCGGCGAGCGACCGATGAGCACGATGTTAAGGCCTTGCTCGGCCAACTGTAGAGCGTACTGCTTGCCTATACCGTCCGTCGCCCCTGCAGAGAACCCCGGCAGAGATGTAGAGGCGGGGAGGGCGGGGGTTGAGGGAGGGTGGGGTTAGGGAGGGCAGGTTTAGAAGAGGGTAAGATAGAAGAGGGTGCGGTAGAAGAGGGTTGGGTAGAGGAGGGTGAGGGAGGACGGGGTTAGAGGAGGGTGGGGTTAGGGAGGGCAGGTTTAGAAGAGGATGGGGTAGAGGAGGGTGAGGGAGCGTGGGGGTAGAGGAAGGTGGGTATAGGGGAGGGATTAGGGAGGGTGGGGTCAGGGAGCATGGGGGTCATGATGTGTGGGATGGAGGAGGGCGGGGGTATGGGAGGGTGGGTATAGGGGAGGGATTAGGGAGGGTGGGG